AAGTTGATCTACTTCAATCTTCAGGGAAGCTGATGACATTGGAGAGAACTGGGTGTCAGACTTGTCTGGCCTGGCCCACCTGGTCTTTCCTCTTCCCTTCTCCAGACTGCCTGCTTCCCTCCCCAGTGGAGACATTTGAGCTCTGCCCCAGGGCTCAGCCAACAGGCGTGTCCTTTTCTCCTTGAACCAGAGTGTTTTAGCCTCAGAGGTGAAAGGAAATGCCTCAAGTAAAACCACCTGTAGGTCCTTCCCAAACATTGGCAGAGCATCATCCCTAAAACCCATGGGATGCTTCTTGAAACCGGTTTGTTGGTTTCAGGCGCAGTTGGGAATATGAGGAATCACTGAAAGGAGCAAGAGGGTTGGTTTTTGCTGATTCCAGAGCAAGTCATTTCTGGAAAGTGCTCACTCAGACTCCATCAAGAGCCTTTTTATATTGGATGCTTTTCTGGAAGCTGCCCCTGCTTCATGAAGCTTCTAGCAGGACAGTCAGCAGGCCATGGCTGATGGCATCCGATAGGACAGCTGATGGGGGCACTGGTGCCCTAGAGCAGCTCTGATGGGCAGACACTGGAGTGAATTAGGGAATAGAAATAATGCAATAGAATAAAGGACACGAACTGAGTTGACAAGCCTTCTGTTTCTGACAAGTACAGTACATTATAATAAACGGCTTCTTAAATTACTATTAAGCGGTGGGGTTACATTCTGATCGTTGAGGAACTCTCAGATCTGTTGTTTCACGTCTTTGGGCGCCAAGGGAGGTAAAGCCTAAAACTTGCTATCTTTGTGCCAGTGGAAACCGTGCTTTTCTTCGCTCTTCCATCCGAAGAGGTTTCCCTCTGCCACTCTGGAGCCACCAAGTACACCTCGCAGCGAAGGAGCCCTTTCCTCATTGTGTCTTGAAATCTTCCCCCAAACGGCATCCTCGCCCTGAGGTCGCCGCTCCGTACGAGTGACGTGCCTCCAGCGAAGAGGCTGCATTTCTGCCTGTGCAAGTGGCCAGCAGCCGCCTCTAGGGTTTGAATTTCATGACCAGGATCAAGTGGAGACTGCTGCTGCTCTCCTGTGGGAGATGCTAACTTTTGGTTGGTGACTAGAGCACAGCCATGAGGCTGGAAGTCCCGTCGTGAATCTGTGCTTGACTGTGTGTTAGCCTTGCTGGGAAAGCTGAGGTTCTGGACCAGAGCTGGAGGAGAGAGGTCAGCGTAGTCCTCTGTGGAACTGAGATCAAGTTAAACACGTGAGGCGTGGGGACGTGTGTTGTCAACTTAGAGAACAGGCGATTCAAACCCGGACCTTGGCCGGAAGGGACAGAAGTAGGGAGACAGGTGCTTATGGGTTTTGACAAGTCAGGTACAAGGTACTGTGTGAATATGGTGCTGAAGTGGCCACTTGTCACTGTAGGAATGAGGAGCTCACAGAAGTTGTGGCATTCAGGTGAGGGCTGGCATCCTGGGTGGGGCTTGGGGGAAGGGAGCACATCTGCTTGAGGAGGACGTGAGAGCGGGTAGCAGGGCAGACGGCGCTGTACTCGGGCACCCGTGTGCGTGCCAGCGCCTAGACGGGAGGTTTCGGACGTGAACGTTCAGGTGATCCAGGAGGTCAGGCAGGAAGGGAAAAGGCAGTTGGGCACTCGACCGCCACGGGTTTGGATTCCACTGGAGCGGAGCGTGTGCACAGCACATCCGGAAGTGACTGGTGCTCACGCAGGTGAAGGCGGGCTGCCTGGAGAGACCTTGGTCACAGAGACCCTTGACCAAGTGATTTCGGCCACCCGGGTGAACAGTGATGAGGACCTGAACTGCAGCAGGAGGAGGAAGAGGAAAGTGTAAGCCCTGGTGACCGAGTGGATGTGGTGTGGCAAGAGCATGACTCCAGGGACAAGGATGAGGAGTTCAGCTAGGAAGCCAGGGCTGCAGGATCTCCTGTGTCGATGGCAGGGAGCCCGGTAGAAACATGGGTGTGAGCAAACACGGAGAGAGGTCAGGACCGGAGAGGGAGGTGTGGGAAAGGTGGGGGATCAGCCCGGCGGAGGTGGGCGGCGGCAGCTACTTGGCTAGACCAGGGGGAGGGTGTGGTGGTGTCCCATGGGGGGTGCAGGAGAGACTGCAGCACCCCTGCACGGGAGCAAGGCGGGGAGTTACAAGAGGGCTGTGTCTGGGCGCCGGGGGGCGGGGCTCAATCAGGTAAGTATCCGACTCTGGGTTTTTGCTCTGGTCATGATCTCCTGTGTGGGTTTGAGCCCACGTGGGGCTCTGTCCTAACCGCACAGAGCCTGCTTGGGATTCTGTCTCTCCCCTTCTCTCTGACCCTTCCCCACTTGTGCACACACACGTTTGCGTTCTGTCTCTCAAATAAGTATACTTAAAAAAAGGGGGGGGTGGGGGCTGTGTAAATGAATAGGGACTAACGGTTAAGTCTGAATCCTAGAGATGGGGGGAGGCTCCTAACCAGAGGCAGAAGTGGAAAAGTAGGGCTTGCCTGGGGAAGCAGTGAGGAGGTGGGCAAAGACGGGGCAGAAGATGTGATGGGGGGGCATGGGAGGCAGCTAAAGTCATTGTGGTCAGGGTGGCTTATCTGCATGTCAGCCAAGTAAAGGCGGGGCGCGGTGCTCGGAGTGGGTTTGGGGGCTCACAGATGGAACAGGCCAAGAGCCCTCTGAGAACCCGGCAGATTCTTCCTGAGTCTTGGGAAGGGTCCCTGCTTACATCTGAAAAATCTGATGCTGGAAACGACTTGCTCTTTATTTTCTGTCCCATTAGGTCTAGATCAGAAACCAATGGGAGAACAGAAGGAAGAAGAAAAAATATGGGAACAGCACATGACAGAACAAAAGGAAAGAAAAGAAATAAGGAAGAGTGAACTGCAAGAAGCTTTAGAAAGGGAACGAAGAGAACTAGAGAAGCTGGATCAAGAGCGGGTAATGATCGGTGCAACCCAGTTCTCTCTACCGGCGTTGGCACGGTGCCCTTCCTGAGTCCCTTGCTCTCAGGGAGGGAGGTCCTTGCTGTGTCCCAAAGTCCTAGGAGTGGCGGGCAACTTTGTCTGGTTTTGGTTTTTTACCATACAACATTCTTGCAGTATTACGGATTGTGTTCTCTATGCAGTACTTGACGTCTCTGTAACTTATAACTGGATGTTTGTACCTCTCAACGCCCTTTATTTCACCCATCCGCCACCCACCTATCCTGCTGGCAAGCACCAGTTTTCTGTATTTGAGCCTGGGTGTTTTTGGTTTGTTTTTTAGATTGCACATATAAGTGAAATCATGGGGTATCTGTCTTTCTCTGACTTCACTTAGCGTCCTACCCTCTAGGTCTATCTATTGTCGCAAATGCCAAGATCTCCTCCTTTCTATGACTAATACTCCGTTGTATGTATATACTGCATTTCTTTTATCCATTTGTCTTTGGATGGATGGTCAGTTGCTTCCATATCTTGGCCATGGTAAATCAAGTTGCTGTAAACAGAGAGGTGCATATATCTTATCAAATGAACGTTTTGGGGCTTTTTTGTATAAAGACCCGGTTACGGATTCACTGGATCATGTGGTAATGGTATTCTCGATCTTTTGAGGAACCTTCATTCTGTTGCTCAGAGTGGCTGCACCAGTGACGACTCCTCCACATCCTCGCCAGCGTGGGTTGGTTGTTTCTTGCCTTTTCAATTTTGGCCATTCTGATGGGTGTGACGTCCTATCTCGTTGCTTTGATTTGCATTTTCCTGATGATTGATGTTGAGCATATTTTCGTGTCTCTGTTGGTCATCTGAATGTATTTGGAAAAATGTTTATTCAGGTCTTCTGCCCATTTTTGATCGGATTGTTTGGGGTTTTGTTTTTTTCTTTCTTTGGTATTGTGTAAGTTCTTCATATATTTTGGATAACCTTTCATTGGATATATCACTTAAAAAATGTTCTCTCATTCAGTAGGTTGTTTCATTTTGTTGATGGTTTCCTTTGCTGTGCTGAAGCTTGTATCTTGATGTAGTCCCAATGGTTTATTGTTGCTTTTGTTTCCCTTGCCTCAGGAGATCTATCTAGAAAAATGTCAAAGGCCAATGTCTGATGACTACCTATGCTTTCTTCTAGGAGTTTTATGGTTTCACTTCTCACATTGATGTCTTGAATCGTTTTGAGCTTGTTTTTAAGAATGTGGTCCAGGCGCACCTGGGTGGCTCAGTCGGTTGAGCATCC